CAAGGCTGTAGTGGGGCCTGCCGCAACCTGACATACTCTGGGAACAGGTTACTCCCTAACTCCCTGGCCTCTCTTCTTCAGGGGGCCCAACAGTAGCTGATTAAAGCTGGGTCTGGCCCCTGAGGCCTGCTAAGGACTGCTGACTGTCTGACTGTGCACTGATTCCTCAGCCACACTGGGTCTCAGAGTTGTTGTCTGAAAAACAAGGGTAAAACTAGCTCCATGTGTTAGTTTCTGATTGCTGCTGAAACAACTATCACAAACTTGTGGCTTGAAACAACACACATTTATTATCTTACAGTTCTGGAGGTCAGAAGTCTTGAGGTCAAGGTATTGGCGAGGCTGCGCTCCTCCTCGCAGGGCAAGAGAAGGCTCCTTTGTCTTGCCTTTTCCAGCTTTTACAAAGCTGCCCAGTGGGCCTGCTAGACAAACCAGGATGATGCTCCCAAGTCAGGATCTTTAATCACATCTGCGAAGTGCCTTTTTCCGTGTAAGACAATATATTCATGGTTCCAGGGACTTGGGCATGGACATCTTTGATGAACCAATACTCAGCCCACCACACTAGATCAGAGAGGTGTTTGGTGACTTACCTGTGTGTGTGTATGGATGGCGCTTGGCACTGCACCTCACAGAGCGTGCTCACTGTAGCTATGATTCTGTTACCTGCCTGAAGAATGCCTCTTCATTCTATCTTTCTTCAGAGTGCTCCTAATAGTATTTTATTACACTTGTATATTATGATCATGAGTGACTGTTATATGTTGACCTTTTATTATGTATCAGCCACAGTATCTTCCTCACTGTAGAAAAGGGCACTTAGACTTTAGAGCCGCTGAGAAATCCCACCAGGTTTCACAACTAGTAAGAACCAAGATGTGTTCCATGTCAACACCCCCATCTCTTGACCTCCTCCTTGTTCTTTTGGTTCTCCTTTGGACCTCAGCTGATCTCTCACAAGCATGTTAGAGCATTGTGGGGGCTGTGTCGATGTTGACCTGGTAGAGAAGGCTGGTGCCTAGGGAGGAGGGGGGCACTTCCCCTGTACCCACGCGCGTTCCTCTCATGCCACTGGCCTCAGCAGTTTCATTTTAGGAGCCTGAATAATCTCACCTCCACCCACATCTGGGCCTGATCAGGCAGTAGCATAGTGGTGGGCTGTCAATGCTGCTTCTTTTTGCTGACTTGGTGCTAACCACGCAGATGACCTTGATGAAGCACTTGCACTCTAGGGGCCAACTTGCTTTTAGGCTTTTCCCTGAGCTAGTTTGGGAAAAACTCACCAGAGGTAGGAAACGGCTGGGGAAGGCAGCCCTCGTCCTGCTGCTCCGGTTTGCTCTCGGACAGATTAGGCCTTGGGACAGATTAGGCCTTGGGTGCTGGAATGCAGAGGTTCAAGGAGGCCAGCCTGAATCAGCAGGGCTGAGCCTGTGACCCTTCTCCATACTCTTTACCCATCTGGGTCAGCTCTCTCCAAAATGACTCCCCCCCTTCTGCATTTGGTCTCCAAGGGCCTTCTGTGTGCTCTAGAATGACTTTTCTCTAGTTAACTTTCTTCCCCATGAGAAAAGCAGTCCCTGGCATCAGATATACCTGAGTTCAAATCCCAACTCCTCCCACTTACTAGCTCTCCTTTAGTTATGGGCAATTACTTGACTTCTCTGGCCACAATTCCTTCTTCTGTAAAATGGAAATAGTACCAGCTTGTACTTCAGAGTGTGGAAGTGCGTGATGATAGCTTGCCCTCAGTCCAATCACCTTCTCTCAGCACTGTGAAAAGAAAACCAAGAGATAAATGGCAGAAAGTTTACCCTCTCAGAGAGAAGCTTGGTAGGCCAGCTAACCTTTAAGTCATCCATTGATAATGGCATTGGATAGAACAATGTAATTTCTTCCTTTCTTCCCCCAGAGGGAGCAGGTGAAGGAAGTTGGTGGATGGATGGGCAGGCCTGTTTCCGGTGACTTGACCCATTGCTTTCACTGAATACCAGAGGGAAGGGGCACACAGGTTTAGCACTTACCTCACAGCCCTGGCCGGCTTTTGTTAATACGTTCTCTGTGGATGACCCATCGTGTCTCATAGAACCATGGTGCCGGGATGCCAGTGGGCTGTGTCCCCTGCAATTCCATCCTCAGGGGACCCTTTATTTATTGGAGGGAGAAAGTGCACAGCCTGGAAGGATGTGCACCCTGTAAGTCTTTCATTTCCCCCACTGTCCCCAGTTAGTAAGTTGCTGAACTTGACTGGTAGTTCCCTAATCTGCCCACGATCTCCACTCTTGTAGGGAGTATGCCCTCTAGTGTCCCACACCCGAGGCCTGGGGGTGTGGTGTCAGTTCTCTCTACATTGGTTTCTGTTTCTTCACTGAAACCGTTTGTGGGGCAATCTCCCTCTTATTTAAGTTCCTGGTCAAATAACCCACCCCCAGGCTGAGTAACACACTTTCCTCTCACCTATCCTGCAGTGTGTTCTGACCATTTCACTCTGAGCTCAAAGGTGATCTTGTACTCTTCAGCTGAAATGGTGCTTTTCACAGGAGGAAGTAGTTTGCCCTCGTGAATTCCCTCCCCTTCCAAGCTATCACTATAGTTAATCCATAGTAAGCACCAGAAATTTACAGAAGATGCAATGTGTATATATATGTGTGTGTGTGTGTGTGTGTGTGTGTGTGTGTGTATAATTAAAAGATTTATTTATTTATACATATAGAACTAGGGTGCAGGCCAGAGGTACAGGGGCGGTGAGAGGATTCACCAGAGACAGAGTTGGGAGCAGAACAGACAGATCGATGAAATACACTGCTGAGGGGAGCCACGTGGGTAACTCCCTGGCTGGGGATCAAGCTTGCACTGAAGCGGCTGCTGCCAGCTTGCAGTGCTAAGGCCTAACCCGCTGCACCACCAGGCAGGGTCCATGGGGAACCATATTTAAAAAACATTTCATCAACTATAATTCAGTGATGAATTAATGTCAGTAATTATCATTTACTGGCATTTATAGTTTTGAACTTTGTGTGATTTTTCTTATTTCCCTACCTGGATTATGAGCTGCATTGGGGTCAGGGAGCCCCACTCCTTATAAAATGCTGTAACTACCCCATGCCTTGTACATAGAACTTTTCCAGTAAATTTAGTCTTGTTAGGGAACACTAAAATGAACATCTGTAGTGAAAGATGTACATAGAAAGCTGCCCCTATTTTGGTCTGTTTGTCTCTGTCCTGTGCTCAAGAAGCCCTCGCAGGGCAGAGGCTGCTGTTTTGTGGTTACAAAAGCCTGGCCATGACTTTGGGCCTTTTTTTTTTTTTTTAATTACAAAAGTTTATTTTTACATCATTTTGTACATTTTTTTTTCCATCTTAATTGTAATCCCCGTGGGTTCCCCATCAGACTTTGGGCCTTTTAACAACCTGACAGCAGCTGCACCTATTGCCTAGCTCCAGGGGTCCATTCCTGTTTCGGGTGCTCCCTGGGGTTATCAAGGGAGGAACTGTCACTTACAGAGGAACTTATTATTTTCCAAATCCATGGAAGGACATTAAAGGAAATACAACTTGTTCAGTTCACTTCCCACCTGACAATTCTGGCAAAGCCTTCTGCCCATTTTTCCTTTCTAGCTCACACTCCCCACTGGCATGCTTTTCCTTTGCATAGTTGTGATGAGAGAGGTTCAGCTGTGACTTTGTACTCTGCTTTTTCTCTCTCCCTGCCAAGCCAGGTTATGCCTCTCTCTGGGCTGCCCCATCCTTGCCATACTGGTGGCTTGACTATTGCATCAAGTGACACAAGGATTATTTGACCCCTCAACCCCAAGCTTATTTCCAGGGTTTCACTATTGTAGAGATTGGGCAGTAGGCAAAAGAAACACAAAATGTTCATTTTGGCTAATGTGTAAGTCACCAAGCCAGGCAGCTAGTGATCTCACTCCTTTTTTTTAAAGATTTATTTATTTATACAGACCTGGGCTACAGGTCAGAGATGTGGAGGGTGAGAGGATTCACCAGGAACAGAGTGGGGAGCAGATCGACGAAGTACACTGCTGAGGGGAGCAGCGGGCGGGTCAGGAGATGTCTGCCTCACCCTGTGGATCTCCTCCAGGGCAGGCGGGGATCGAACTCATTTGGAAGTGGCTTAAGCTTGTTAGTGCTGTGCTTTAACCCGCTGCACCACCAGGGAGGGCCCGACCTCACTCCTTTTTTAACACTTACTTATGGACGTGAGACAGACTGGCTAAGCCCACTTAACACTTACTTATGGGATCTAATGCTTATTGAACTCCTCCTGTGCACCAACACTTTGCTAAAAACTTTTCATATAAAGACCTATGTGCTGTTACTCTCTGTGAGGTCCATATTAATTTTCAAGCTTGAAGGGATGCAGTAAATTCTGGGCGACGTTGAAATACATGGCTTCAGGCAGATTTGAACCCATGCCTCACAAGCTCATGGTTGGTGTCTTGTCTGCTCCAGTTTTCTCTCGCCTGCTTTTTTTTCCTTTGCTGTGAAGAAAGCCTTACCCATAGTTGGCACTCAGTAATGTTTAATGACCAAATGAGTGGTCCGCATGCAGGGTAACAACATGGTTAGTAGCCTAAGATCATGGTTCTTCAGCTCCCAATGCTTGATTTTCTTTACTGCCTCACTACCAAAGGTGAGTAGGAAATAAATCTGTGTGTATAGAAATTTGTATGTGTTCATTATGAATTTGCATGATCGTATTTCTTGTGTTTTGTTGGGATACATTGTGAGAAGTACAAATACAATTACTGAAACAAAGTCTAGAAACGTTTCATAAGTTTGTAAGACCATCCTAAGACTTTTTTTGATGGTTCAGTTGTATGTCTGACTACCAATCCAGTCTCTCTGTTACCTTACCAGAACTGTTTTAAGAAGCTCATATTACATTCTTAACAGTCTAGTATGCTTTTGTATTTTTTACTACCTGGATAGTAATATTTTGGAGCGAGGTACTGCTAACCCCTAAAGATGAATGTTTTTTCCAGATCCCAAACCAGTGGCTTTCCTGCAACATGGCTTGCTGGCAGATTCTAGCAACTGGATCACCAATCTGCCCAGCAACAGCCTGGGCTTCATCCTGGCAGACGCTGGCTTTGATGTGTGGATGGGAAACAGCCGGGGGAACACCTGGTCTCGGAAACACAAGACACTTTCAGTTTCTCAGGATGAGTTCTGGGCCTTCAGGTATATCGGGATGGAAATGACAGGGTTCTCTTTCCCTGGTGGCTTAATGTAGACACTGGGGAGGCCGACAAATGAGTAAGGGAAGGGCTGTGAGGGGGGAAACTGATGGCTCCTGAAAGATTTGAAACCTTGTTGGAAATTTAATACAAAGCCATTAAGGTAAGTGATAAGTAAATGATTACATTTAAGATAGACTTGCTTAGGTATAGTTCGCTATTTCGGCCTTCCTGGTGGTGTGGGTGCTGCTGGGTAATCTGGGTCACAGTGTGGTTACGTGTTCTCTCTTCCATAAACTTTTCTGTTTTCAGAAATTCTCCTCTCCCTTCTCTTAGGTCTGGCTCTACCTATTAACCAAACATGTTCCATCGGATATGTTCCATAAGCCCTCCATGTCTGTTTCCTTTTTGTTAAAACAAGGAAAATTAGTGCCTATGTCATAGGGTGATGAGAGGTGGAAGGTGAGGCTATAGGGGAGACCTTCGGCCCTGGTCGGTGATGGAAACAGTTGTTCCGCCGCCTGCTGACAACATGTGCTCCCCACATGGCCCAGGGCTGGGTCTCTGCACAAGGTGTCAGCATGTCCTACTGGTGGCTTCCCGTTTGTCAAGCTGGAGCCAGTCTAAGGGCCAGAAAACATGAGTGAGACCTTTTACCAAAAGGCACATAGCATAATATTTTGTCACACTGCTTGTATAGAGAAAAATCAGAAACCACCACCTGTCCATTGGTGGTCCGTTGAATGGACATCTTATTATTTATTTTTAAAGATTTATTTATTTATACATACAGAACGGGGGTACAGGCCAGAGGTGTGGGGGGTGAGAGGACTCACCAGAGACAGAGTGGAGAGCAGAACAGGCCGACTGACAAAGTACACTGCTGAGGGGAGCAGCGGGCGGGTCAGGAGAGGTCTGCTGCACCTCTCTTGTGGGTGCAGCTCTGGGGTGGGTCAGCTCTGGGGAGGGGATTGAACTCTCACTGAAGTGGCTGCACCCTAACCCATTGTGCCACCAGAGAGAGCCCTGAATGGACATCTTAAGGGTGATACATCAGCATTCTGTGACAGCCTGGATGACGCCAGATACAGGAGAATAGATACTGCTTAGTCCCAGAAATAGAAAAGTTCAACGTGAGTAAAACAATGTAAGGTGTAAAAATGAGAATGAAGGTTGTCTTTGGGAGACATTGTAAGGAGGGAGGCCAAGGAGGCTTTTGAGATTCGGGGATGTTTCCTCTGTGCTGTGCTTTAGGAGTTAGCAGTGCCTCGCTCCAAAATATTATCTATTCACCAGTTGTGATCAAACTGCACATATTATATATTTGTGGGCTCTTGTGTGTGATGTCTCATGCATTTCTTTTTTTGGACTGTAGTTATGATGAGATGGCGGAATATGACCTACCAGCTTCAATTAACTTTGTTCTCAATAAAACTGGTCAAAAGCAGTTATTTTATGTGGGCCACTCTCAAGGCACCTCAATAGGTATGTATGAAATAAGTCCTGGAAGTTAAGAGAATGTCTTGTTGCAGGTTCTTATAAATCATTTTTGTTTTCCAATGCCTAGCAGTCATGAATAGGACAAGCAGTTTCAGTCATATTTCATCTTCTCTCAAAATTCAGACCTAATATCAGTGATAAATATGGCATGTGATTAATCCCCAAATATGGCTTTGGGGATTAGTGTAGCCTAGCAAGTATTTTCCTCCTTAAGTAGTAGGAGGTAAGAAAGGGTAGAAACCAAGAAGTTTTATAAGTGCAGAGATTTAAAAAGAAAACAAGAAAGTTGACTGACTTTAAAAGTCCTATGCATTCTTAAATTTACACCGATTATAAAAGCAATGTGTATTCACTACAAACAAAAATAGAAAATTTAGTAGTTTAAAGAAAATAGAAATTGCCCATGATTGTAGGAAGCAGGAGTTCCTAGATTAGGGGGTGGGGATCTGTATTTAGTTCTCCCCTTTGGTGTTTACTGTGACTAACACCTTTGTATACATAGCACACGACCTTAGAATGTATCCTTAGAAGGAGAACTGCCACAAGACAGGTATGAATGCTTTAAATGGCTTGATATATGTGGTTCTGTTGCCTCACCATCAGGACGACCAAATTCCCTTTGAGGAAAAAGTGACATGACTGCATTTGTCTTTCTTGTTAATGGAGCGAAGCACTTTCTCTTTTGTTATTGGTTTATATCATCCCCTCTTCCGTGGTTTGTCTACGTGGGCCTTTGCCTCCCAGCTTTCTGAATGACCCAAGTTTAACATGAGAAGTGATTTGGGAAGAAGTGAATAGATATTTTAAAGCTAGCCTGTTCTAAACATGAAAATCTCCTTTGAGGCAGCAATGATTGATTGAAATGCTTCTGGAAGTTGTTCTTCGGGATGGAGGGGTAAGCATTGAAGCTGGGAAGAGCGGGGTGTGGAGACCTCAGGAGTAAGATTTTCCTTTCTTCAGCTTGCATTAATAAAGGCAGGGAGGATCTGCTGGTTCCGACCATCTGAATTTTTATCAGTGCATATCGAAGTTTAAAGCAGAAACAAGCATTTAACAAGTACTTGACTTGCTGTTTTATTACAACTCCATGTGCACAGTCCTTCAAAAGGCCCCTTCAAGTATTTGGCCTCAGGGCAGTGGCCTTGCCTGCACTGTTCATAGGTGCCACTGGAGGGCGAAAGTCCCTAAAGATGGAATTCGGTTTATCATCTTTTTCTTCCCACAGGTTTCATAGCATTTTCACGGATACCCGAGCTGGCCAAAAAGATTAAATTGTTTTTTGCTCTGGCCCCCGTGGCGTCAATCAACTTCACTTATGGCCCTCTAATTAAATTTGGGAAAATTCCAGAATTTATCCTCAAGGTACTTTGGCTACCCTTGTCCTTTCCCTCCCCACCTCACCAATTTCCTTTTCAGATCTGAAGACTTGACCTTTAGAGGGAGAATCTGTGTCTTGCTTTTATGTTTTTTTGCTGTGAGTAGGGAAGTAGGGATTCTTTTCTCCTTGAGTTTTCTTCTCCTTGTATCTCTACTCTATGATCCTAGGGCATGACAGAAGGTGTATCAGCGACTCTGCACTGGAACCCCATATTTTTCCTGTTAAGGTCAACACACTGTACAATGAAAGCATGGGAGAGTCTAGCAGAAGGCAGTCTTTTTTTTGAAGCATGTCATTGATACTAAATTTATTTTTACATCATTTTGTGCCTTTTTCTGTCTCAGTTGTAATCCCCGTGGGCTTCCCATCACCAGATCACCCATGTACCATCACCGTAGTCCAGTACTTTTCCCTTCCTCCACTGTTGAAGGTAGTCTTTTATAAAAATCAATTTATTTATTATATTTTACATCATTGTTCATTTTTAGAAAAATGTTTACCGCCCTTCCTGGTGGCGCAGCGGGTTAATGCACTGCAAAAGAAGCTTAAGCCACTTCTGCATGAGTTCCATCCCTGCCTGCCCCAGAGGGGATCCGCATGGCGTGGCAGATGTTTCCTGGCCCGCCTGCTGCTCCCCTCAGCAGTGTGCTTCCTTGATCTGCCTGTTCTGCTCCCAACTCTGTCCGTGGTGAATCCTCTCACCCTCTGCATCTCTGGCCTGTATCCCAGTTCTGTATGAATAAAAAAAAAACAATCAAAAAAACACAATGTTTACTTTCCTCCCCATGTGCAGTGTATACCCCATAAAATTTCCCCAGTTCTCCCATTCACCATCATCACAGTCCCCTGTGCTTATCCCTCCCTCCTTCCCATCCTTCTCCATCCTCCTCCCCTGCAGGATGTCTCTGGTTTATAATTGTCTGTTTTAGTTTTGGTGTTTTTTGTATTGTTATTATTTTCTCCCCTGTGTCTTATTTGGTCCTCCTATATATATATGATTCTGTGCCCAGTGATGAGACACATAGATAAGATCAACGACTCTAACAAAACTTACCCAACTTGGGCTGGGTAATAAAAGTATAAGTTGTCTTAAAAACAGTCAAGTTACAAATAAACTACCCTTAATCGGTTATAGGGCACCCCAGTGTGAATTGGGTTGCCTGCCTGTGGGTCCTCACCCTCACACTTACAATTCAGTTGCATTAAGGACACACTCAAAAAGGTTAAATAATGGATTTATTTACCAGGAGAAAGGTAAAGAACAACCCAGGGAAAGAGGGAGAGAAATACAAGTTAAGCTAGAATGTCCTAGTAGTAGTGCTGACCTGGACTACTACTGCTCCTTAGGGACGATTTTACTTTAATCCTTGGAGTTTGTGATTTAGTAGATTTATTAAAACACAGACTCCTTCTTTCATCCCTGCCTTGGAGATGGTATTAATTTTTTTTCTTTGTGGGGGGATAGATCCTTGTTTGTAACAAAGCACCCACATGGTTCTAATGACTGAACAGACTGTTTATTTGTGGATCACTGTTCCAGACCAGGGTGTTTTATTATATCCTGGCAGTGAAAGCAGGGCTACACATAAAATTTTTTGAAATAGCTGCTCTGGGGAGTATATATTATGTCCATGAAATTTAACTATCCTCCCTAATTCTCAGAATGCAAAGGTATGCATTTTATTTTATTTTTTTAAGGTTTATTTATTTGTGCAGACAGAACTGGGGTACAGGCCAGAGGCTCAGGGGCGGTAAGAGGCTTCACCAGTGACAGAGTGGGGAGCAGAAAAGGCAGATCGATGAAGTACACTGCTGAGAGGAGTAGCAGACGGGTCAGGAGAGGTCTGCCATGCCATGTGGTCACCTCTGGGGCAGGCGGGAATCAAACTCATGCGGAAGTGGCTTAAGCTTCTCAGAGCTGTGCTTCAACCCGCTGCACCACCAGGGAGGGCCAAAGGTATGCATTTTAAAGAAATCAAAATTTATTTGAGCAGGTCTGTAAATGTGTAAGATGAATTTTTATCTTTCTATATATACTGTCCTACTTTTAATACTTTTTTAGTGAAATTAGCTATAGAAGTGTTTGGGTAACAGTTGTTAAGTTCAAGATCAACCCCACAGCATTTTGATTTAAGACAATGATGCATCGTTCTGTTAGCCGGTTTTTAGTAGAGAACCTAAGAGATATATGTATTTATTACATGTTCATTAGGTCAACTGAAAACCGGATTTTTAATCTAATAGCTTTTCATGTCACGTGCCCTACCCGGCAGGTGGTTGGTTCCTGGTTTTCCCCTGCTAATCTGAGCGTCATTATTTTGGAGAAGAGGAACTTTCAAGGAGACTGGTATCTGTCCTCAGATACTGGTTGGTTATATTGTAGACAAGTGATTTGGTAGAGATCACAGGCTCTCTGTTAGTGGACCAGGCCAGATTTGGCTGAAGGAATGTTGAATATATCTCATGCAGTGTTACACACTTAAATTATTTGCATTCTTTAAAAAATGGGATGTTTAATTTTGACATCTTGAAGACTGGTAACTTAGGGTGCAGGACCGAGAGACCAAGTGCCATAGGGCAGTTGCAAATATTACACCGAACATAACTTCCAGTTCACCACAGTTTTCAGCTCTCTCTAGTGATCATTTTTGCTTTGTTGTCTCACTCATTTATATTCACATGCCTGCTGTGTGTGTTTATGGGAAGAATCTGTCCTGTGACTTCCCTAACTTCTGGAGGCTGCCTTTGCTTGTAGAAGCATCACCCCAGTTTCTGCCACATTCCTAACACAATGTTCTTTGTGTATATGTGTGTGACTGTTCGGACTGTTCTATAAGTACCCCAGTCATACCGCACTGGGGCCAACCTTAATGAACTCATTTAACTTGATTGCTGTCTTCAGTCTCTATTTATAGATATAGAGGATTTAGGCTTCAATTTTTCTCTTTTTGCAGAGAGGGTGATAGAAGAGGAGGGTACACAGTTCAATCCATAAAGTTGTTTTTATAGTCCTTTGACTGTTTCACTATTGCTTGTCCCTCTAGACATGAGCAAAAAGATAAATTTTTTTTTTTT